TTTCAACTCTACATACCCTTCAGTTCTAGTTTAGAAAATTATGGCATAACTAAACAACAGTAAATAATGCAATATAATATATCATGTCAACCCTCATTTTTCAAGGTCTTATGAACTAAAGTCAGAGCAACTTTGGAGTTTTACAACAACCTCCTATTTTGCCTATACTTTTCACAAAATTCTTCAATCCTTCCTTTCCATATGACTATTTTTATTCAAATTTAGTTTTCAACTTATATTTACCCTTTTCCAGCTAAAACCAAATCAAGATATCTTTATGTAAGGATAATAACAATGTGATTTTACTGCATTTCAAACATCCTATAAACATTTTTAAAGGCCCTATCGCACTGACACAGTTTTCTATTAATTTTTGCATTTCTGTATGGAAATAGACTAACCCTATCACAGTTTTTATGCAGCAAACATAGTGTCCAAGTAAGCATGGCAGCATCCAAGTGAGGTCCAGGGAATCACTCGAGCATTCTCATTCATATCACATTATTTTGGAGAAATGTAATTATGTATATTGTATATAGAAATATTATGGAATATTAACTAATATTTACATTAACTTATTCTATCTAATTTATCAACAAATTTGTCTGACAGAAATGGTCCCTATTGTCTGTCTAGGAGGTGTTCTGTTTGCAAACAATAATTGTAGAAAGCCTCAAATTCAGACGAAAATGCAAAAATTGACGGAAATATGCTAGTGTGGTAGGCCTTAAAATCATAAAAACAATCCCTCCAAATTACTTGTCTATCTGCAATTTTTTTTCTTCCCTTAAAAGTTATTTGATTTTCTCCCTTTGTTACATAACCATATAGTGGCCATTCCATCATCTCAAAACTTGCCACTTACAGTTACATTTAAAAAATTACTAAACTTGAGCAAGGCACATACCACCACATAGACTAGCCAACCCAATGATATATAATATGATAATAACCAATAATTCTAAATAAGAAAGTACAACAAAACTATATTTTTGAAAATATAATCATAACTAGAAAAATGTGAGAACATGCCAAAAAAGACAATTAAAAAGTTCAAAGTGGGATAGTATCAGCTTTAATTTTTTTTTAAAGAACATTCCAATACTGAGGTCACCATCTTGAACAGAAAGAAAAATCCTTCCATATAACCTTCCTACTCTTCTCTTCCACTTTCTCCACAAATTAGATCAAATTATTATCTTCTTATATATATTTAATTTAGAGAGGGAAGAATTTCAATAAAATACATTTCAAAAGTATTCCCTTAAGCCAAGTTCTCTCTCAACTTTCATCTTTTCTACCTCTGATGCTACTTTTAATGCAGTTTCTACTTTTCATGTTAGTTTTATTTATCAACATTCCAGTTCTGCTTGTTTCTGGTTTTATCTCTTCACTAAATCTCTACCTAACTCTTGTCCATTTTTACTTTGAGTAATACTGACCACATTATCTTGATTAACCAGTATTAACCACCTCAGACTTAACCTCCACTTTATCATTCTAGCTGTATCTTTCTATATATGCTTATCTATTATTCTACTTTAGCTCAAGTTATCACTCAATTACTATCTTTCTAAATCTAGTTTCTTTCCCTTTTCCTTCCAGCCTTCATTCGCTTCCACACTCCACACTCCATTCTAGTGTGTCTATCTGTGTCTCCTATCACCAATAGGTTTAAAAAACAAAAATGAAGTTCACTAGCAGCATTTTCATAGCATTCCCAGTGTTATTTGTAAGTCATTACCTTGAAAACAACATTTCTTAATGGCTAATTTATGCCATTTGTTGTTTGTTCATGCATATTTCATACATGGTGATTTTATGTAACAGCTTATCCACAGTCTAAATAGCTTTTACCCAAATTCAGTCATTAATAAATCAGCACTTGAGTAAATACGACTGCTATAGAATGGCTTTCATTTACTCTTGTTATCCAATATTTACTGAACACTACTGCCACTAGTGTGAAATTTATAATCAATTAGTAAGTAAAAACTGAAGACAACCTTAGTGTTAAATACTGAAATTACTCACTGCACAAGCCCGAGGCTGAAAAGGCAAATTGAAGCCAAACAGGGGGAAAAAACTTGCGAGAAAGAGGAAACCCAAATTGAGAGACTCACCTTGTCATCAAAATGTGTCTTTTTTGCTGGATTCCCGTTGGCCGCGCCATTGGTGACCGACTGGGGTGCAGTGACATTCTTCATATGCTGCACCACCAAGTTTAGCCTGACGTTCTGGTCCTTCTCCTTGCAGATCTTTATGGCTGAGATAATAATGAAAAATCAAAAAGATTAAGACAATTCAGAAGATGGAGATTTTGGAAGAGGAAGAGGAAGAGAAAGAGGAAGAGAAAGAGGAGGAGGAAGAGGAGGAGGAAGAGGAGGAGGAATAGGAGGAAGAAGAGGAGGAAGAGGCAGAGGAGGAGGAGGAGGCAAATGAGGGAGGGGGAGGAGGAGGAGGAGGAGGAGGAGGAGGAGGAGGAGGAGGAGGAGGAGGA